CCCACCTGCAGAGGTCAGGGATTGAAATGGGGACTTTTCTGCATGTGTTCTGCCGCTAAGCTACAACGTTTCCTAGAATGTCTGCATTTCCCAGATGCTTATCCAAGATTACTGAATGAGAGCATCAAGGATAGCAAGCAAGCTTCCTTGAAAGACAGATTGCCTATTGCTAAGCCTTCCTTTGCTGTAAGGCACCAAAGAGACCCAATAGGTGCAGTGAATTCTCTGTGTCATCAGTGTGTTCAGGCTCAAAGGACCCCCACTACACAAGACATATGGATTGTCCAGAATCAAAGGACAAAGCCATAGGAGAAACGAGATGGTTGAAGTCATCTTTGTACTCCCTACCCTCTTTCAAAAATATATAGACAAAGGGATTCAAAGGGACTTAAAGGAGCCCATACGTTTTTGAAGGGGGATGGGTCAGTTCTGAAGTGGCAAAAATTTCATGGGCAAAGTTTCACAGGCTGCGTTTGAAGAGGAAAGACTGTCAGAACACAAAAAGGTGATCACAAAGTAATGGCAAATGTCTAAAACCAGTTCACCTTTTGGAGGTATCTGCGGCATATACTGTACTTTTCCGTGTATAAAACTATGTTTTTTTCTTTAAAAATCATGCTAAAAAGTGGGGGTCGTCTTATACATGGATAGTGCATAGGATGGGCGTTTAATTGGTTGCTGCCGTGACTGTCAGCTACTACTGTGAGTGTTATTTGTTGTTGCGTCAATGGTTGGTGTTGATTGAATGATGCTGCAGCAGTTGGGCGGGTGACTGGCAGCTTCTGCCAGTAGTGGGACAGGCGGGAGGCGAATTTTTTGACATGTGCTGGTGAGTGATTTTCAGCCACCGCCCCTTTATAAATAATAATAAAAATAATCCTGGTTAAGTAAAGGTAAAGGTAAAGGGACCCTTGACCGTTAGGTCCAGTCGTGGCCGACTCTGGGGTTGCGGCACTCATCTCGGTTTACTGGCCGAGGGAGCCGGCGTACAGCTTCCGGGTCATGTGGCCAGCATGACTAAACTGCTTCCGGCAAACCAGAGCAGCGCACGGAAATGCCGTTTACCTTCCCGCCGGAGCAGTACCTATTTATCTACTTGCACTTTGACATGCTTTCGAACTGCTAGGTTGGCAGGAGCAGGAACCGAACAACGGGAGCTCACCCCGTCGCGGGGATTCAAACCACTGACATTCTGATCGGCAAGTCCTAGGCTCTGTGGTTCAACCCACAGCGCCACCCACGTCCCAATCCTGGTTAATTCCCCCCCCCAAAAAAAAAGCTCAACAACTCTGTGCCATCTCCCCCCAATTTCTTAAATTTGAGTCCCCCAAAATAGGTCTTATACATGGGGGTGTCGTATACACAGAAAAGTATGGGATATGTACCATAAGCCAGCTACCCAACTACCATCAGCGTAGCTCAGAATTTAGAACCCCTGAACTTCAGCTGGGAGCTGTCCTTAGGAGTGTGCCTCCTTTATGGCTGCAGGGGGCAGAACATTTGCAGTGGGGTAGAAACCGCTAGGAAGAATTCCCACAAAAAAATAAGTTGACAAATCATGGCAGGTAATGAACAAGGACTCTGGTGTGCCCAGAAAAAGCCTAATGGCATTAAGGGTGCAGGGAAAGAGAGGGAAGTTGAAGAAAGCGCAAAACTTGATAACCCACTGAACTAATATGGAGAATGAGGTTGCAATGGTATGGGCAGTTCCACTCTGGAAGTCTTGAACATTAAACTCCCTGCTTGTAAAAAGTCAGCACATCAAGGAGAAAAAAAGGAGAAGCTACCCCAAACCTTTCTCCTAGATGTGCTGGCTTTCGGCCTACAGGGAGCTTTTTACACAAGTGAACATTCAAGAGAGTAACTGCGCTGTGATAGTACAGTCCAAGCCAGAAGACATTTCGGCTGAGAAAAAAATGTGATTTGCCCACCACATCCGCACTCCCTAGAAAAAGACCAACTTCTATATGTGTTTGTTATCAGTCACTCACTTTTCCTACAATGCCCCAGAATCACACTAGATCAGGGCAGTTTTGGAAAATGCCAAATGATGGCAGGTAGGCAACACTGCTGTGGCTTGCAGTGATGGATAGATGACACTTATGGGGTGGGGGAAACTGCTAGTGTTAAGCCCCACTCCACAGAAACTGCTGGAGAAGCTCTCTTCCCCCTGGAGAAATTCAGCAAAACAGCTGCTGTCCCCCCAACCCAGTTTCCTTGCCAGAATTTCAAGAAGCCATTTGTGCACATAACTCCAGTACAAACATCTATCGTCTCGTGGCGATGGGGGTGAGTTTGGGTTGCCAGGCTGAGAAACTCAAAAAAAGAAAGAAAGTGGGAGGGCTGCAGCTCAATAGTAAAGCTTCTGCTTGACAGGCTGTCCCTTGCCTCCGAGTGCCAGTTCCTGGAAATCAAGAGCAGGCAGAATGCTGTTGCTCTTGAGTCCTGCCTGGGAATTTTCCATAAGCTTCTAGTTGCCTACTAGATATAATCCCCAGCATCTTCAGGAAGGCGTGGGAATGTCTTAATTCTGAAACCCTGGAGCACTACTGCCAGGCAGTGTAGACAAAACCAAGTTGCTTGAACCAATGTTATGATTCAGTACTAGGCAGATTCCTGCGCTCCTGTGTGGGGATAAGTGTGCACACATGAACTTTTAGATACATGGAAGTGAAATACTAAAATGAGCACCTGTCTTTATAAACCACATGGGAAGCTGCCTTATAGTCAATCGGACCATTGGTCCATCTAACTCAGTATTGTTAACACTAGCTGGCAGCGTTCAGGGCTTCAGAACAGAGGCTCTTGCAATCCTAACCTGAAGATACCAGGGATCGAACCTGCAACCTTCTGCTGCCCTAGCACCAAGCTACGGAGGGGGAATGTCCAAAGCCCCTTTCAACCACTCTGCAAGACCAATGTATTGTGTGCAATTCTTGCAACAGCTTTCCCAGGGTACAAGTCCCAGGCAAGAACAAGAGGGCGAACAGCTCTGTGATTCAAGAAACCTTTCTGGCACAGGAGTAAGCTCCACTTCAACACAAGGCAGACAATTTCTGACCACCGAGGATCATACCCCAGATGATCTGCAGAAACGCAACACCTTTCTTCTAAAAGCACAAGCCTCTTGTGGAAAGAACAGCTTGCGCCGGCATCTCCAGATGGTTGTGCAGAAACAAACACAAACTGACATCTTTGCAAGGCAGAAACATGGGTCCGTCCGTCCTCCCCCCACCAATGAAATGCACAGACATGCCCCAGCTCTGTGCACATCTGTCTCCCTGCCTCCCACACCCAGCTGCCAGCCCATCCCCGTGGAGTTGCCTCATGTGCATCACCCTGCTTTCCTTGAAGCCACTTCTCTCCCCACTAGCACCCTTCTATCCCGGGGGTCTCTGGCTGGCTCCAAACGGAAGTGAATTAAGTCTCCGTCAAGTCTATTGACCTCAGCTGGAGGGGTCAGGGAGGATTACGAGGAAAGTATTTAATCAAGTTTATGGAAAGGCCCCAGCCAGCGGAAGGAGGCTGAAAGCCTCTTGGAGGGGCAGAGAAGCATCAAGGGACATCTTTCAAGCCTACCCTTGATCCCCTACCAAGCCTGGCTTTTTGCAGCCCGTTTAAGCAACTAGAGAGATAGTTCTGTTTGCAAGTCCAGCCACATATGACAGGGCGTCTGGGGGTGTTTCGTATCTCGGAGGCTACCGACCAGTGTTTAGGGTGTCGCCACCAGCCACTGAAGTGGACACAGCTTCTTTAGCAGCTATGTCCAAGAGAGGATTTAGGTGGGTATACCTTGCGTGACACAGCCGCGGCTGCCCAAACTCCCCTCTTTGACCTGACTATTAAAGATGCAGGAGGCTGTTCAGCATCTGGTGGCTGAACAAGGGGGGGGGGGTAGAGAGAGAAAGGAGCACTCTCTGTAGTAAATGCCTTTCAGTCTACACCTCAGAAGCACCCCCCCTCCCATCTTCCTTAAAAGCAGAAGGGCGTGCGATGGAACACGCATTGCTGAAGGGGAGATCCTACTCAGCAGCAACAAAGTCGCACCATCTTAACAGTAGTGGAGCGAAATCAAAGCCAAAACAAGGAGACGCTAAAAGGGAAATCAACAGCAGCTGGAGAAGGCTTGGCTCCCTCACAAGAACACTTCCTCAACCCTCCATAGAGACAGGGTTGGGCGTGCGTTCCCTGTATCCATCCTTCTCACTGTAGCTTTGGCAACCCAATAAAACAGAGAAAAGAAGTTTATCTCTCTTATTACGGTGCCCCTGAATGCTTAGCAACACCCGCCATAAAAGCTTGCACACCCCATTACTACTGAAGTTATTTGTCCCCCTCTCTTCTACCCACCCCAAATATCCACCATTTGCTTTACACAGAACGGCGGCAGCTTTCGAGAAGGTTTTTGGAAGGAAAGGCAGCGATCCAGAAGTAAAGGGGGGGATATAATTCTGGCCATTTCTCAGCCCTTGCTTTCCCGGTCTCCCTCCCCTAACAACCCTTTCCTCTTCCACTTAGTAACCGCAGAAGTTTGTCCGCTGAAGTTTCTCATCCCTTCCGCCTCTTAAAGAAGATCCCATCCAGAAGAGGAGGAAGAAGACCAATGGGCGTCTCGAGAGCTTGCTCAAATTGACAACTCGATCACATGCCTTTTTAAAACATTTGTTTGCATCGTACCGGCGCTGATCTCTATCGGAGAAACGCGGCGGAGGTAGGGGTGATGGGGAGGTTCGGAGAATGGGAGAGTAAGATAGAGAGCCTCACACGCTCCGGAATCACGGCTAATCCAAACGCACAAGCAAATTAAGCCATCAACACACAAGCCACAAATTGCGCACCCGGCGCGGCTCCGCCAGCAGCTGCGAGAATCGGATCGATAATCTATTTTGTAAAACCGGGAGGGGGGGTGAAGAGAATAAGAAGAAAAAGGGGGAGAGAAAGCATCTGTGGGAAAGGAGGGGGGTGGTCTTCCAAACCTCCCTGCTTCTTCTCCCTTGCAGCAGAAGGAAGCCAGCCAAGGGGAGGCGAGAACCAGAATTCGAACCCGCGTTGCAAAAATCTGGAGTCGTCTCCTTACCTTGGAAGAAGAACAGCGAGGCCATCCCGGCCAAGACCGCCCAAAAGAGAGGGGTGTGCATTTTCGCCAGAAGTCCAGTCATGCTCGGGGACCGAGGTTTTGTAAGAGCTATCGCGCTCCGGGCTTGTCGATTTCAGCTGCTTCTTTTTTTTTCCCCTCCCCTGTCCGATCCCCTCTTGAGCTTGCGGAGACAGGCAGACAGGCAGACAGACAGACCAGAGCTTGCTTCTGCGACGATGATTATTACGGACGGAATGGAGAGGCGCAGGGGAGAGAAAGCCACACAATCCAGCGCCTGCCTGCCTGCTTGCTTGCAGCCCAAAGCGGAGCGAGAGCGAGACTCCTTCCCAATAATTATCTCCACTCGTGGTCTGGCACCGAGACCCGCTCCAAGATAGGGGATTGCGGACAGCCCTCCTACGCGGCGCACTCATTGGTTCGCATCCAGGGATTGACAAAGCGGCAGCCCCGCAACCTCGCGCGCCGCTGCCAGGAGTGTTAAAGAGCCCACGAGGCGCGGGGGCTGGGCGTTTGATTCAGAGCGGCGGCAGCAGCAGCAGCAGCCGGAGTGACTCCAGATTAAGGAGACTCCGGAATGGTCGCCAGACAGATTTGATTTTTGGATGTGATTTATTTATTGCAAGACTGTAACTCTTATCCTCCCTACAATGCATGGGATCAGTCCTGGCTGGCTCCCAACTTGCTTTGGGGTCCAGGCCTACACTAAGTGGAGAGGGTGGTAGCTCAGTGGCGAAGCATCTGCTTTGAGGGCAGAAGGTCCTTGGTATCTTCTGGAAGGCTTGGGATTGCCCCACCCATCTGAAACCCAGGAGAGCAGCTGCCTGCCCGTGTAGACAATACTGAACTAGAGGGGCCCATGGTCGTGACTTCCTATAAGCGCCTGTGGCCTCTGCTTTTTTTTAATCTATCACTGCTGGTGTAAACGATCACCATGCTAATTTTAAATTCACCCTGCCTGAGTTGCCATTAGCCATAATATATTTTCAGCATTGTTTTGGCCTCTGGCCTCATTGCTTTCTAATCCCTTACCGCCATATATTAATCTATATCTTGAAACAGAGGGTTGCATTCCATGCATCTGATGAAGTGGGCCCAACTTGTCCATAAGTGCAAAAAGAGGGAATGTTAGCAGGTGTTGCTTGTCTCCTTAAACACTGGTTTGTTTATACGTAATGCTCAAAGTAACCCCAGGTTTCAAAAGCAGTTAGACTTCCTTTGGAGTCAACACAAATAGAACCAGGCTGTACAGCTGCTGACTTTTGCAGACATTAATCAGGTGAAGCTTCCACCATCCTTTTGTCTCCTGGTCAAAGCTCTCTTAAAGGCACAGCAGTGGGGCCATTTCTTTTTAATTTTATTTTTTAAGGCTGCAAGACACCCTGATTTAGGATAAACCATGCTGCAGTCAAGGGGCATTAAAGAGAGTGGCCACCTGATTGTACCATTTTAAAACCCATTTGTATATTTTAATCTAAACTTGATTTTTTTTAAAAAAAAACTGCAGCAATCAACAAATTACCATACAGATGCCAAGTTTTTCAAGAAAAACCCTCCTCCTTTAACCACCGTATCCATCTAGCTACTCAATGCAAAACAAAATAGTTGAGCCTTGCAAACCCTCTAGCAGGAACAACTCACCTTTAACCCTTCAGCTGTTAATGGGCTACAACTCCCATCGCCCCTAAACATTGGCCATGCTAGTTGATGGGGCTGATGGGAGTTGGAGTCCCACAACAATACCTGAGGAGGGGAAACCCCTGCCCTCTCGTATGCACAAGGAACACGTGATTTCTGAGTGTAAGGGGCAGTAACATTGCTTGTGGGGGTACAGAGGCGGTTGCCCCGGACTCAAAATTGTTAGCGGCGGGGAGGTGGGATTAAATATCCAGCACGCTTTTAAAATCAAGCATCTCCCACCATCTCATCAAGGTGCTTTCCAGAGTGGCTGGATGCTTGTTACACCTGCCTGCTAAAAAAATACATGAAATTTCCGCATCTGCCTAGCTATTACTGGTGCACAAGCCCCAACCGTTTTTGCATCTGGCCATCCAAGCACCAAGAATTAATACAGGGCTAAGACAGCTGACTATGGGGGAGACAGGGTTCCTGTGAGCCACAGTAGTATTCATCAAATGCTATTTTAGCACTTTCCCTGTCACTACGGTTTATTTATTCTGGTCATTTATAAAGCACTAATCGTATGAAATATCATAGCAGCCTACAGGTAAAAATTCAATAAAACAGAGCAAACACGGCTTCCATTAAAAACATCAAAATGCTGTTGTCGCCATACAGGCAATGAGAGGTTCACCTATCTGGAAAAACCTGCAAGAAACGAAAGCTTTTAAGCATCCAGGAATACTTACAGACTGTCAGAGCCTGTAATCTCAGATGGTAATGTGCTTCACGAGGCTGGTGCTATTGCTCTAAAGGGCCTGGACCAGGTTGCAGGAGAATGAGTCTGTAGTGCATGGAATACAAAAAAGCTCTGCAGCTGACCACAGAAATCAGGCATCCCTTCCATTTCAAGAGTCGCTACCTGATGAATATCTGGCTGAGATGCAGCTGCTATGGACACCGAGGAGAAGTCATGCTATGGGGGACAGGGACCCTAACCCACCTCTTGACTTAGCTCAGGACTGGGAAATTTCACGTGGGTGGCGCTGTGGGTTAAACCACAGAGCCTAGGACTTGCTGATCAGAAGGTCAGTGGTTCAAATCCCCGTGACGGGGTGAAATCCCATTGCTCGGTCCCTGCTCCTGCCAACCTAGCAGTTCGAAAGCACGTCAAAGTGCAAGTAGATAAATAGGTACCGCTCCGGCGGGAAGGTAAACGGCATTTCCGTGTGCTGCTCTGGTTCGCCAGAAGTGGCTTAGTCACGCTGGCCACATGACCTGGAAGCTGTACGCCGACTCCCTCAGCCAATAAGGCAAGATGAGCACCACAACCCCAGAGTCGGCCATGACTGGAACTAATGTTCAGGGGTCCCTTTACCTTTATCATCCCTGGTCACGGGTCATGCTGGCTGAGGTTGATTGGCAATTGAGTCCAACCGCATTTGGAGAGCTGCAGGTTCCCCAGCCCTGGTTTAGGAAAGTCTCTGTGTCTCTTTTTGGGGGTGGAGGGGGGCAGAATAGATAGAAAAATGGTGTCATGGGAATACAGGAAGCTGCCTTATTGACAGATCATTGGTCCATCTAGCTCAAGACTGGCAGCAGTTTTCTAAGGTTTCAGAAAGGCACACTCCAAGCCCTACAAGGGGCTGAATTTAGGACCATCTGCAAGCAAATTGGATGTTCTCCCACTAAGGTAAAAACCCTTCTCCTTCATAGAATCATAAAACTGTAGAGCTGGAAAGGACCCTAAGAATCAGAGAATATTCAGCTGTCTCATATGGGGATCAAATGTGCAACCTTGGCATTATCAGCATCATGCACCAACCAACTGAGCTATCCAGGCATGGTGCTGCTGGTATAGATTGCCCTTGGTGATGTGCTGAAGACAAACAGCATTTTGGACCAGGGTTCTGACTCCGTCCCCTCACCGCTAAGCTTAGTGCACTGCCAACTTTGGTGAGCGCTAAAACAACCGTGGTACAAGCACCATGGGACCTGAGCAATTTCCCATTATCTGCAGGTTTAAAACTAGCAAAGTCCTATCGTGTAAACAATACACCTAGGAAAGCTAAAATCAGCCGACAAGTGTATGTAGTTCCTCCTGTATCAGATGGGGAGAGCAAGGCTCGCTAAAGGAATATGAATGAACAGAAGGCATAAGATAACAGGGGATTGCTTTATTTTGTGCCCTCTTGCCTAGATCTGCTGCTCCTCCGCAACATATAAATGACATCCATTTGGGAACCTAATAAGATAGGAGAAAGGGCTATTGTTTCTTCCCGAAATTTAGCACTCAGAGATCAAGAACAGCTCATGATATCCTCAGTCACAGCTTCTGCATGATGCCCAAATGGAGAGATATGGGTGTGGGGTCAGTTTATATAGTCAGCAGGAGCTTGTGGCTGTTTGTTTCCTGGACTGTATCATTTTATCCTGTCTCAAGCATGCCCAAGGCAGGATAGGTTCTACAGCAGAGTTGAGAAGCAGTCCAAAGCCTGGCCAAATAGAGAGCAATAGTGCAGGCAGGTGCAAAAGCAGTCCAGATGTTGCTCAGAAGGCATCCCAAGACAAACACAAGACTGCATTGGTGTAAGCAAGAACACCCAGTGTTCAGCTGCAGCTCCTTATGTGAGGAGATCAGATGTCCTTATGTGAGGAGGGCCCTACTCACAGGGTGCACTTTACTCATGAGGAATCCTTTTTCTACTTACTTTGCCAAACCTTTATTAGGCAGTACAAGTACAGGCTATCATAAAACATCCATACACACACACACACACACACACACACACACACAAATAAACAGCCATGTAAAATATGTGATAACGAGGATTTTCACTAGAATTTCTTCCTGCTAATAGTGCCGTTCACCACTCTAAGAGATACCGTTGACAAGAACCTCAGCCACCCTTGCAGTTACTTCTGGGTTAATGTCAAGACAGATAGAATCTGATAATTTAATTGTCTTGCTGTCTATAAACAGGCACACCTCCGGAGCGTGAGGGTCCTGGCCTGCCTTTTAAGTCACCATTATGCCCAGCGGTTCAGGAGTGGTTGTGACTCCTCAAGAGGAGGAGCTCCCCTCTTGCACTGAAGGACCCCAGATAGCCTCCCCTAAGTTCCCTGGCTTCTCCTTGATAATTGGCATGGACCGCTCCCAGACGCCACTAGTTTTGGGGGGCTCCAGATCCTCCTTGCAGGAGGCATCCTCTAGCAGGGGCATGGCACACTTGGGAATGCAGGTAGGAGGCTTGTATTTGTGAATACACCCCATGAAAAAGCATGTGATGGACCCAAAGGTCCAAAATAGTAGGAGGGGGATTCTTAAGCACCTGGCAGGATGGTCTGGATTAAATTGAATGCTTCATAAGTTGTGTAAATCTGAAGTACTTGACTTTGTTTTGATTAGGGCTGATTTGCTTTTTTAAAAAATATTCACCATGTCCTGCAAAAACCAACCATTTATTTATTTTTATGCTGCCTTTTCAAAGTTCAAATGATGTGCAAGGTGGCTGACAACCTATAAAATTACATAACTACAAACCTAACAAAACTAGTCATAAACAATAGACAAAACATCAAAAAGTATGCAACCAAACTGAAAATTTCCACATAAATCATAAGATCCATATGTAAAATTAACATCAATTACAGCAACATCCACCCTCCAACAAAAACTCCCAGACAACATTCCAGCTCTGCCTGCCTGTTCATTTACATTGTCTTCACTTGCTCTCAATTGGGTTCACTTTCCCGCAGTAATGTCACCACATAGGCAGATCTGATTGGCTATGTAGCATTGTAACCTCATACCCTTGACTGTATGATCCCTGGTTGGCTGGGACCAAACCGTGACTAACTCTGAGAAGCTTTTCATATATTTTCATTTGCCCTCATTTCTCCATTTTTATTATTATTATCAGGCAGTGAAACTGGAAGGGTTCCCTACTTCCCCAACTGATGAGAAGTTCAGGAGCAGCGCTGCAGGGTTTAATTTCTTTAGGATGTGATCACTTGAGAGCGAACTGTGGTGTCTTTGTAATATTTCTTTTATTTAAGAGCATACATGCAAAACACAATGAAAACAAATAACAGGCAGAACAATCAAAGCACAATTGCTAATTCTGCTTCAGATCCCCCAAAGCAACAATATGGTCCCCCACAGACTCTTCAGTCTGCTTCCTATCCAGCAAATCTAGTGAAGCACTCAGCAAATTCTGCCTCTGTGTTCAAATCCAAGGCTACAAATGTTCTCTCTGTTCACTCCCAAACAGGATGGGTGTCACATCCTCGGGGCAGGAGAGAGACTTGTGCAAGACTATGTGCATCATTTCTTATGCTTGTCTAACTTTCTTTCAGTTGGGCTTACTCCCAAATAAATATGATTTAAAACTCCCTTTGTTACATCCATCCACTGGCAGAGGAAGGGGGGGCAGGGAGAGCACACTGACCCCAGCACCACGATCCCGGTGGGGTGCCATCATAGCTGCCCCCCCTCCCGTGCTGGGTGCCACGCCCCCAGGATGCACATCACGTCCCTGTGGTCGGCATGCCACACCCCCGGGATGCACGCCATGCCCCCGCCTACTCTCAGCCCCCGGTCCGCCTCTGCATCCATCCATAAATTTGTCCACCAAAATGGAGGCTTGCTTTCATATGTGGTGGGACTGCCTGCGTACTGATCCATTTTGGAAGAAGGATTTTGAAGAAGCCAGTGCAATAATAAATCAGTAGATTACACCAAGCCCCCAAAATGCCACTATTTTTCCATGTTGAGTGAAGAAAACCTTGGTCTATTGTAGAAAGGTTTACTTATATTTATTTTATATAACACTATTTTCCCTCAAACAAAGCTGCCCAGGTTATGAGATCTCTGTGGGAGGCCCTTCCCTCAGTTCCACCTCACCACGACCACCACAGGCTTGGTAGATCTTCTCAGTGGCTGCTCCCAGACTTTGGAACTCCCTCCCTAAAGAAGTTAGATTGGCTCCCTCCTTGTTGTCCTTCCTCTGGCAGGTGAAAACTTTCTTGTTACAACAGGCTTTGGGGAAGTGACTGCTATAAATGAAGGGGCTGGTGCTGTGCTTCTTTTTATTGTAATTATTTGTATGATTTTAACAGAGAGAGCGCATGCGCGCGCACACGCACGCACACACATACAGTTTTAATTCTATCAGTGTTTAATTGCTTTTTAATTATAGTTGTTCCTCTATGCTTTTAGCTGTTCATATCTTTATACCTAGGCCACCTTGAGTCCTTTTCAGGGAAAAAGGTAAAGGTACCCCTGACCGTTAGGTCCAGTCACGGATGACTCTGGGGTTGTGGCACTCATCTCGCTCTATAGGCTGAGGGAGCCGGCGTTTGTCTGCAAACAGCTTCCAGGTCATGTGGCCAGCATGACTAAGCCGCTTCTGCCGAACTAGAACAGCGCACGGAAACGCCCTTTGCCTTCCCGCCGGAGCAGTACCTATTTATCTACTTGCACTTTGACATGCTTTCAAACTGCTAGGTTGGCAGGAGCAGGTACTGAGCAATGGAAGCTCACTCCATCATGGGATTTGAACCACCGGCCTTCTGATCGGCAAGCCCTAGGCTCTGTGGTTTAGACCACAGCGCCACTCACATCCCTTTCAGGGAAAAAGGTGAGGTATAAATAAATATGTACTAATAATGATAATTTGGGTCTTGAAAATATTTGGAAAGGCCTTGTTTCTAATATGTTTGAAACTTAGCGCCAACAACTATGGATTGTTGCTCTGATGGATTGACTGACTGCATGAAGCCATGTATAAATACTGATAGCCTTGATATGGACTGGTATAGATTTATGATATCTTCTGCAATGAAGGAACATAATTACAAACTGCCTGCTACACAGAGATCACTCCGGAAAGATAATCTGGGTTAACAAATCTTTGATATAAATGATGTTTTCAGATTGGAAACAAAGAACTCACAACTCACAAACTTTGCCTCAGTGGGATTGGAGTGTTATTTATGGATTGTTATATTTGTTTTATACAAAACCAATAAAACATATATTGTATATTTATATATACAATGAGACTGATTCATTCTGATTGAGACAGCAGTTTTACAACATCATCCCATTCACTATGTTGTCCTGAATGGTCTAGGACCATGCCTATGACTAATCCAGGGAGAAGAGAAGAGAAACCCAGCAACAAGGGCGCACATCAGTGCCAAACAAGCTGATGTGGGTGGCAGAATGGTGAATAATTGTATGTTTTGAGGAAATGTTTCTACAGCTCCAAAACAGCCTTTTTTAAAAGAAAAAGCAAAAGCAAAAGCAAAATATATAAATGGAAACTGGAGAGCACAGCTTTAGTCTTGTTTTTATTTTTCTGTTAGTATGGCTGTTGAGCACCATTGTTTATCTTTTGCCGTGATCCAACCAGTGCATTTCCCGCCCTTTGACTGCAATGCAGCACCCACTAGGCCTGGTAGCCGGTGCCCATGTGGCAGCTACAAGCAAAAGAAGAAGAAGTCCTTTGTCCCAAAGAGCAGGAATGATCTGTAACAATGCGCAGGTTGCTCTCAGCCTCTTTTCCTAAGGTTCTGTGCTGCGTATTGTTAATTTGCCCAGCCCTCTTTCTAAGCACGTAATGTTGCCTGCTGTCCCGGAACAGTTCTTTTGGAGCCTTCCGCTCGTGGCTTTGTGGAACATCAACTTTTCATGTTGAACAGCAGGTGGTGTTCAACAGAACACCTCGCAGTAAATGCCTAATATCTGTTCCGCACGTACAGACCTGTGTGCCTTTGCTGATAGGAATGTGCAGATTGAAGGGCTGCATCCAGGAGATATGGAGGCACCAGAGAGAAGGAGTTTGTGACAAATATTGTTGCATGTGCCTCATCCTGGTTTGCAGCAACAGCAGATGCAAAACCAGGAGGGTATCTCAGAATCGCAGTACAGCCATAACCGCACATAGAACTTAATGTAGTTTGGTAGCTTACTCAGAGTAAGGAAAAGATCTTCCTTCCTTCCTTTTCAGCTCCTCAAGCTCCTTCCACTTCTCCTCCTGAACTGACCACTCCCTCCAGGACAGCTCCGCAGGGCCCATGACTCTGTGTGTGTGAGAGAGACACACACAGAGAGAGTGAGAGCGCAAATGTGAATGTGTGTGTGTGAGAGAGAGAGAGAGTGCAAACCAGTGGTGTAGCATGGGGGACACAGGGGTGGTTGCCCCGGGCACAAAATTATTAGGGGCACAAACTTTCAACGCCCAGTGCCACCTCAGTACAGCTGCATGCTTCCTTTGCTGGCTTCATTGAAAGCGGCTTCTCCATACGAACCAGGAAGTGACCTTTCCATAGGATGGAATGATTCTTCTTATCGCTGCAGCTGTGGTTTCCTAGGTGATGCAGATGCCGTTAGGCAGTTGAATACACAGCCCCAGGCACTGGCAACCCACGCTATGCCACTGTCCCAAACCTGTCTATCTGGCCCTCAGCTATCTTCCTGGACCATAGCCTGACCCCCCCAGGAACACCCCTTTCCCCAAGGCCACACCTCTCACCTTCCCTGCTTTGCATCCTCCTCGTGTGTTTCTGCCTTGCTGGAAGGTGTCCTTGAACTCTGATAATGCTTTTTGCTTACTTGGACGGAGGCTAGAGAGTGATGTGTGACTAAATCAGCATTTGTTGCTCCACCCACATTCTGGCTCTGCCCACTGCAGCATGTGGCCTCCTGGGAGGTTGCCTAGAAGGGCATGTAGCCCTTGGGTTGAAAAAGAATTTCCCCACCTCAGTCACAGATAGCCTTAAAAGGCATGAAGGAGCATATCCATCATTTATAATGTTTTTGTTGGTTATCATTCTGGAAGCTGGCTGGTCCTTTCCACTTTGCATGCAGAAGATTCCAGCCAAGCAGAAGCTCATCTACCTCAATTAACAGCAAGGCAAGCAGAAGCTGGCAAGCGCCAGGCATAGATTTTCAGTGCAGAAATTCTCAATCAAAGCAGCTGCCCTGCTGGTGAGGGATGTCTCTTAACTGCTAGCACCTGGGGAAGTTTGCAGCCTCCGTTTCAGCATCACCTCGGCTCACTCACCTTCCCACTCAGAGCAGCCAGTCAGTGTTCAAAGGATGCTCCCTAGTGATGTAATGTGTTCAAAATCTAAATAACAAATGCATGATAAAAAGAGGCGATTTGCAGCTCCGTACTCCAAGCTCACGCAGTCTTTATCCCAGTGAAACCACGGCAACTGCATTAGCTCATGGTCATTCCCATTGGGTTGCAGGGAAGCCGTGAATCAAGACACTTGCTGCAATTGCTAGAAGAGTTTTGGGTCTCTGAGGCCCGGTGTCTGGGGCCGGCCCTATCATTAGACAGAGTGTGACAAGCAGCCGATGTTGGGGGAAGTGGTAAATGGTGGTGGTTTGCTGGAGAATCCTGCACCCCTGAAGCTTGCTTGTTGCTATCAGGGACAGGGAAAGAATCATAGAATTGCAGAGTTGGAAGGGACCAGAAGAGTCATCTAGTCCAACCTCTTGCAATGCAGGAATCTTGTTGCTTAACATGGAGCTTGAACCCACAACCCTGAGATTAAGAGTCTCATGTTCTACCAACTGAGCTATCCAGGAAGCTCAGGTTGTCCTGTGATCAGCATCGGAGGAAGACTGATGTGTGAGTCCGGTGGGCTTTGATATGTGGATGGTGCTGTCTATCAGCATGGGGCAGCAAAATATCTTAGACCAACTGCTTGCTCATTTGCTTTCCAGAGCTGGATCCTGGTAGTAGGTGCTCCCATGCGGAGGTCCCTCAGAGTTGGTTTAGTGGGGAATGGCCAGCTCAAGCAGTAAAAAAAATGTAAGTCAACCAGCTGCAGACAACTGGCCACACCCATCCAAGTTTTGCTGGTCTGTTAGCATGTATCATTTAGTTAGTTCATAAAATGTATATACTGCTTGGCTATCTATCTATCTATCTATATATATATCCCCTCAACAACCTAAAAGTGGTTTAGAAAAAGAATAAAACAAAATTATCAGTTAAAAGCAATGGTTTTAAACACTCTGAAAATAAGTAAAAACAATGATAGGCTAAAAACAGATAAAAACACATGCCAATGTTCCATATGTCTAGACACAACTTGCTTAAACAAAAATGCTCAAAGCAGGTGCCAAAAAGATAACACTGAAGTACCCTGATTTCAGTAGGAAGGGAGTACCAAGTTTGGGTGCTGCCAAACTAAACAATGCAAACCTGTAACAGTGCCCAGGTCCTTAGATGGAAGTTGTTGAGTGGTCATATACAGGGTAAGGTGATGTCACAGGTAAACTGGTCCCAAACTGTTTAGGGATTTATATACTAGCAATAACACCTTGAACTAATATAACATCCATGTTAGTCTCAGTTAATAGGAGGTTTGCTAGAAATATTTTTTAGGGGTGAGGGAGAGCATAGCAGGTCAGATGTCCTCCTTCAGTACATATCGGGAAGCATATTAGCTTTTCTCCTGATGGTGGACATCTTGACTTGCAGGAGTTTGTGCCTGTGGCCTTCCAGAAAGCAACTTCCACCTACCCCAGCCAGCATGGTCAGGAATGATGGAAGTGGCAGTCCAATGATATCTGGAGGGCCACAGGTCTCCCATTCCTGGTGTAAATGTTGTGAGTGCCAGGATGGTATAGAGCAGGGTTTCCCAAGCTTGGGTCTCCAGCTGTTTTTGGACTACAGTTCCCATCATCCCTGACCACTGGTCCTGCTAGCTAGGGATGATGGGAGTTGTAGTCCAATTGGAGAACCAAGTTTGGGAAACCCTGGACTAAAGCGTTGGACTATGACCTGTCTTCAAATCCCTATGCAGCCACAAAACTTACCAGGTAGCGATGGGCCCACCTCTGCATTCTTACTTCCAAGCGGTTGAACTAGATGACCTCAGGGTACCTTCCAAGTCTACAATTCTATGATTCACTGTCTCCCAGCCTAAGCTACCTCCCAGGGTTGCTCTGAGGATAAAATGGTGAGGTGGAAAACCACGTCCTCCACCCTTGAGCTCCTTTGAGGAACGGTGGGATATAAATGCAACAAAGATAGATGGGTTAGATGTTTAGGCGTGTGCAAGATCTCAGATTCAAATGCACAGAGCATCCCGGGTATAATAAGACATACCTCTCCTCTCGCTCTCTCATGCATGCAGACACACCATTCCTTCTCCTCTCTGAGGAGTCCTGCTCACTGTACACAGATGCTGGCTTTTGTTCTTTTAATTACACCTCCTGCCGATCAGAAAGATAAGCCCAAATGGAGTGACTGCATGAAGCGAAGGAGCCTATAAGTTATTCATAAGTTCAAGCTTGAGCTCTTCTCTTACCTTCACTGCATGACACCTTCAAAACATATTATTCATCTGTCTCTACCCCCCTCCCTGCCACCCCCCACTCCTTTGGGAAGAGAGCAGGTAATTGTAGTAAATACATCACTGCCAAGGCAACTTCATTGCTGCAGAGCCCACACTGTCCTATAGGTGGGAAATGAATGCAGGGGAATCTCTCTCTCTGTCTGTCTGTCTCTCTCTCTCATGTGGGGCAGAGTGGTGGAATGGCACAGATAGCTTCCAAAAGAAATATTCAGCCTCAGTTACACCTCTGACACCAGAGATGCAGGCACAAGGCAGGAAGCTGGAGGATGCATGGCAAAATAGGCTGTGATGGCCAATATGTGGACCTAACAGAATTGTCAAGGCTGCAGGGTGGTAGCAAGGATTGGGCAAGCACACGAGTGCTGGTTTGCCCCATCTAAGAAGCTTCTAAGTACAAGCAGGAATGGCTACTAGGCATAATGGTGATGCTTTGTCCCCAACAATGCTTCCAATAACAGTTGCTGGAAACTGCAGTCGGGGAAAGTAGTCTTGTGTTCAGATCCTGCTTGTGAGTTCCTCGCAGGCATCTGGTTGGCCACTGTGAGAACAGGATGCTGGACTCGATAGGTCACTGGCCTGATCCATCACAGGCTTTTTTCATGTTATTGGGGATGTGGGCTCTTTTTTTCCTGTCGAGAACTGCATTTCCTTGTGGGGCAATCCATAGGAAAGATGCATGCCAATGAGAGAACTGTGCCCAAAGTAGTTGGAGCAAGCCCTTTTACCTCTCTCAGCTTTGGTGTCAGCTTTTTCTCTGTCTCTTTCCCTCCTTTTTCCTTTCCCTCCAGCTCTGTGATATTAAGGGCCCCCAGATGCCCACCTCCAATCAAAAGAATAAGAGCATGTGTTTGTTTGTAGAACAGGAAATATTCTTAATAGAAAGAAGGCTTAGTCGTACTTAGCAAAGTAGGGGACTGAAAAATGCAAGCAGGTGCATTTTGAAGCAGGTGCCCTACAGGTCAGACACTGATTGATTTCACTGCCACATTTAAAAGTGGCAGACCCATCTGGCGTGGAAGGTTGGCTGCAGCTCTGCTAGGGTGGGGCTTTATAAGGGCCTGCATGAAAGAGGACTTTTTTGATACTGCTGCTATGCCTTCCTTTATACATAAAGAAAGATGGTGGGGCGATTGGTGAGGTATAAAGGGAAGGGTTTGGTCAGGTATGAGGGAAGAGCATTTGGCAAAGGTGTAGGTGGGGTTTGCAAGTGGAGCATGCTGGAGCATCAGCCCCATGTAAATTCATATAAACACATGAAACTGTTGCATATACGTTCTCAAGCCCAGCACTCTTAGCTTTGTCTGGTAGCCGGTCTCCAAGGTTTCAGACCGATGTCCTTCCCAGCCCTGGGTCCTGCAGTCTATTCTGTAGGGGGCATGGATTGAGCTATAAGTTTTCTCCAAAAGAGGTTATCTGCCGGATATGAGATTATATTATGAAGCATCTTGTCTTTGTTGGTTGAAGGAATGGATCACATTGGAGAATCCACATATTCACATATCTTAGATTTAGAAAGTCATGATAATATTTTTGGTTGGTACACCTATTTGGTGAAAGTACACAAAGGATTTACAAATCACATAATTAGGAAAAAAATTGTATAGAATATGGGATAAATACAACTTATTGGAGACAAAAACACCACTTTAGATCTCACCTTCGGAAGCCATAGCAGCAAAGAAAAAGAATATGATAGAAGGCTGTACAACTTATAGAAATTTATTATAACAAGAGGGAGGAGAATTTAAATTAAGAGAATTTAAGGAATTATCAGGAAAGTTAACAAGGGTACAATATCTTCATTTGAATGAAGTATTTAAGAAAGATAAGAAACAAGGGTTTGGGGAACAAATATCACAAATGGAGAGAACCTGTTGGAATGTAATGTTAAAGTTCTGTCTAAAATATATAGGATATTATTGAATTGGGAGACAAAGGATGAGCAAGTAAAATCTTCAGTGACACACTGGGCAATAGATGTTGATTATAATATACAGGTAGATACAGAAGTGTGGAATGATTGTGGAATACAGAAATAAAATTTACAGCATGCTATTGTTTAAGAGAAAACTATATGAAAATGTTATATAGATGGTATCTAATACTGAGTAAACTGGCAAAACTGTATAAATCAAAATCAAATAAGTGTTGTAAAAGCAAAGAGAAAGAAGGTACAATTCTATGCAACTTACTTGGTAGTAGGTTTGGAGGAGAAATTCAATTTTGCTTGCATTTTAATGAGAAACTACCCACGTTTCGCACTTCCCGAAAGAATATGTGAACTGAAACATGTGATCCTTCAAAAACCTGCAGTTCTCTGAATGGTCATTCTCCACCCAAACAAAATGTACAAAAATGCATATTTGAAGGGGCATGAGCATATATGAGCACAATGAGCATATATTACTGAAAGCAACATGTGAAGGGGCATTGTATTAAAGGAAATGGATTGCAAAATGTGTTCATTAATCAAAACTTCATACAAGGAGTAAGAGAAATTTGCACAAGAATGCCGGAGAATTTTCATGAGGATTTAAAAAAATAAAAATAAATCACAAATCGATACAGAAATGCAAAGAACTGAATTGAAGATTGGGAAAACAAGAAACCAAGAGAACTGAAATGAACTGCTTTATCCATTGCCGCTTGGAAGTAGGTCCCACTGAACTACATGAGACTTTGTTTCCATTAAACACCCGCACACAGCCTCGTGCCATCGGGCAGCAATTGCTTTGCAAATTCTGCCGTTCCATCCAGTTATGAGCAAAGCTTTAACAGAAGGCTCTGGAAGGGGCACTAGGGAGAAGAGAAAAGAAGCGGAGGTGGGATTAGGAACATGCGTTTCGCTTGCCCTTAATTTTTTGCGAGGTCATTCATGGGCCACTTGTGACACTTTCCCAGCTCTTTCCATCATGTCTAATTTTCTCTGTGACTTTGTATAATCTCGTCTCCTCTGCGCCAGCAATTGCTTCCCCAAAAGTGAACTCAGCAAGTTCATTTCTGTTTACAGAGCGATTACAGCTGAGCCCATTAAGCACAATAGCTGCCGTGTCAAGAAAGAGTGCCGGGTCATTCGCCCCGGCGCTGGAGATTGTTCAATACTTTGTCGGAATGGCTCTTGTGCCGTCTTTAACACACGTGCCTGCCAATGCATTATGCATGCAGGGCCTGGGCTTCCCACGCTCCTAAGAAGGAGCCCCAGTGGAACGGCCTGTAAGGAAC